GAGACCAAATTAAAAGATTGTTTATGATTGCGCTAGTGTATCATATATGTCGAAATTTCTGTCCCGTTAAAATTTTAACCAATGATCCAACGACCAAAATCAATTTCTTAGTTCTAAATTCCATCCTCAATTTGTTGCAAGACAATGCAGTTACATTACCATTATATGTTTCAGATGAAGGACCTTTGAAAAGGATTAAGAGGTGTGTCGACTAAGACGACTTAGAAGTTGGGCAAAGAAAAAGACAGAATTAGGTCGCTCGCAATCACGGGCGAAGATCCAGGTCAGGAAGAGGAAGGTGGTGACGCCCGTTTTCTTCCCCTTGCGTGGGTTGAAAAGGTGTTGTCATGCCGACTACTCAATGGTGCATTCAACCATATTTGACTCCTTCAAAATAACATTTGTTTCCTAGACCGTCTTTGACGGTTCAAAACTTTCCTGCAACTGAGACGTTACGGTAAAGTATTGATACATCAAGTTATTTATTCACTTCGCATCACGGAAATAGTTATAATTCTCTCTTTCATAGTTGTTCTCTTTAAACGGTGATTATCTCTACCAACGCTATGGGAAATACAACAACAACAACAACAAAGCCTTTTCGCATAACACTGTGTGATAAGTTTAATATACGCTACCATTTAATATGGACATGAATGGATTTCATGTTATGTTACTGTTGAAGTTGACATCAAATGGGCCTTGAGATTGTAAATTGTGTGTTGCCCAGAGAAGTGACAATGGCCCAAAGTATGAAAGAAACCCAAGATACTCAATATTCCACTTGTTTTGGGCTGAAAAAAACCTCTAATGGGATATGATTACAAAAGAAAAAACAAACAGAAAAAAAGAAAAATGTTCCATTTTTTATAAAGTTACACGATGACAATTATAATGGTTAAGATTAAGTTTGACAATTTATTGCACGATTTGTTAACCGACATGATATAATGTGAAAATAATAGATTTCGTGTCAACCCGTTAATGAAACGGATCATTATTGGGTGGCAGTTAAGGACACTTTAACGAATCGGATCGTCATCAGGTTTTATTGGGTGACACGTTAAGAACACGTTAACGAATTAGGTCGTCATTGAGTCTTTATCAGGTCTCCCATTAAAATAACAGGTGTGACATGTAAATGATATGAACATGACCTATTTGCAAGGTTTAGACATTAGACAATGACAATTTCTTACATGATCTATTAACTTAACACGAAACGACACGACCTGACAATGAGTAAAGTCGTTATCGGGTTACCTGTTAAAAATCCGTTAAAATAACAAGTTTAATACGACACGATCTGTTAAAATAACATGTACGACACAATAACGACACAAATAAGACCCGTTTGCCTGGTATGGTTAAAAGTTTAAAATTTCATTGTTGTTACACTGGCCGGCCGGGCGGCCGTGAGGCATTTTCAGGCGATGGTTTCTATTTGCACAGGCGAAATTCCAAAAGGCCATGTACAATCAATCATGATTGAAACAGAAGTGCAATGCATGAATAAATACAGCTTATGATGTATGCCCCCACCTAACAGGGGACAAAGATTACTTTTCCAGCTAATTTAGCTCTCTTCTCCAATCTGGCCGTTCATTCACTACCGCGTGTTGATTCTTCTTTTAAAGTAACACGGTCCTAAAAAGTCATGCCAGATTAATTTGCTGATAACGAAAATGTTTTTGTGTCGGTATTTCGTCAATCACACATTTCATTTGTATTAAATTATTTTACCTAATAGTGCTTAACTAGGTTAATATATCATTTTTTCTTTTCAAAAAGGGAACAATTGGTAGTTTTACTACAATAGTCCACCATTTTAAGAGTCGAAAAAACTCACAGAGACAATTCAATATCGCGTTAGGAATCAAACTTAGGATATGTCGTGTGGAGTACAAGCTCAAAATTCGTTCCAACCAATGGGCAATCCTCAGATGATTGGGTTAAAATATCTTTGTGATGACATATACTATTGTATAAAGTGTAAATTTGAATTAAATACCGTCACAATGATATTTTGTGCGTAAAAAGTCGGGTTAAACGTGACTCACCAAAGACCTCACTGCCGAAGGTCACTCAAGAAAAGTGTATTCTATTACTGCATTCCCACTGCAACCACATTCCCTCAGAATCTCATTGTTTATACACAAATAAACAGAAAAATTAATCACTTACCAAATTATGTTCATTCATTCCGTAAACCCCACCAACCAACCACCTCTCGCTGTCCTCTCTTCTCTCTCTCTCTCTCTCTCTCTCACCAGCACAGATCCCTCTCAAGGCGCACAACCCCATACCCTCAGCCGCCGAAACCCAAACCCCCCAAATGAAGAAAGCTTCCATTTTTCCTCACCTTCTCAGCTGAATAAATCTTGGGCTCTTTTTCTTGTTACTTGCTGTGTGTGAGCTTGGTCGCCGGCGACAATGGATACCAACAAGCCACAGAAGAAGAAGAAATGGTTTTTACCCTTGGTGGTTTCACTTCTTCTCTCCACCCTGCTAATCTTCATTACTGTTTTTACCTCTTCCAGCTCGTCTTCCGCAATATTTTACCGACCCCGTGTGAAAAAACACCTCCCACATTTCGTGGAATCGAAGCTAAAGATTTCGGAAACTTCTAAAAACCCAGTTCCCAGATTGGCCTACTTGATCTCCGGCTCCGTCGGCGACGGCGGCAGCTTGAAGCGGACGCTGAAAGCGCTGTACCATCCGAGGAATCAGTACGCAGTGCATTTGGACCTGGAGGCGTCGGCGGAGGAGCGGCTGGACTTGGCGAGATTTGTGAAGGAGGAGCCACTGTTTGCCAAGCTGGGGAATGTCAGGGCGGTGGTGAGGGCCAATTTGGTGACGTACAGAGGGCCGACGATGGTCACCAATACGCTGCACGCGGCGGCGATTTTGTTGAAGGAGGGCGGCGAGTGGGATTGGTTTATCAATTTGAGTGCTTCTGATTATCCTTTGGTGACTCAAGATGGTAAATTTTTGGCCTTTCTGATTCTTTTACAGCTAATTTTTCTGCTTTTGGGTAATTTATATATTTTTTTAATTTGTTGCTAATTTTGGTTAAGCATTGGATTTTGCTATATTTTCTGTATTCTTGCATTGGATTTCTTGGTTTCTCAGGCTTATTTTGGCAGGTGCAAAGCAGTTTGAATAACTTATTATTTCCGCTTTTGGTTTTGGCAGAAGTGGGTTAGGTCAGTTAGCGAGAATAATGTTTATGCTCTTTCCCTTCCCCGTAAATTAGGGTACTAGAAAATTATATCACCTAGTCGAAAAAAATTTGTTACTGCTTCTGCTCATTGCTAACTGTACTGAAAAGCATTCGGATACTGCTATTGTTCTGTAATACAAAGAAGACGATTGAGGGATGGGCGAGGGCGGGTTTAGTCTTTGTAGTTTCGTTTGTGATCTCCGGCATTCATGCAATCTGTTAGCTTCCGTGCTGATTTCTTATTGGTGAACTTAGAGTAGCGGTTAAATGATTAAGCTGCATCGTCATATCCTAACGCCTTGATTTACGCATTTGTCTAACAGATCTGCTTCATGTCTTGTCATCCATTCCAAGAAATCTTAATTTCATTGAGCATACCAGTGACATTGGCTGGAAGGAGTATGTGGCTCATCTCTCCTCCATTTTTAGTAATTAGTTGGACACACTAAGTATGCAAAGTTGTATATAACTGCTCCTAAAAGGTTTAAATTGCATGAATCCCACAGGGATCAGAGGGCAAAGCCCGTTATAATTGATCCGGGGCTGTATAGCCGGCAAAAATCAGATGTATTCTGGATCTCACAGAAGAGGAGCGTGCCGACTGCATATAAGCTGTTTACAGGTGAAAATCTCTGCTTCCACTGCTTCTCATTTGAGCATGTATCTGGTTCAAGATCTGTAACGTGTTGAATCTTACGCTTTCAAAGTAGAAACTGCGCTGCTTATGCTGTTCTTTAACATGTTTCATGGCAGCTGCCTTCTAAAAGTTTACGAATCTTAGTCACTATATCTGAACGCACACTCTATACATATAACTTATTGCTGATTCTGGTTTCTGCTCAATAATTTCCTCAGGGTCTGCTTGGATGATGCTCTCCCGTCCTTTTATCGAATATATTTTATGGGGCTGGGACAATCTGCCAAGGACAGTCCTTATGTATTATGCCAACTTTCTCTCTTCACCAGAAGGGTATTTCCACACTGTCATCTGCAACGCTGAGGAGTTTCAGAACACTACTGTGAACCATGATCTCCACTTCATATCATGGGACAACCCCCCAAAACAACATCCACATTTCCTCGTCATGGATGACTTCCAGCGCATGGTAGACAGTAATGCGCCCTTCGCCAGGAAATTTGGGAGGAATGAGTCAGTTCTTGACAAGATCGACTCTGAGCTTTTAGGCTGCAATGCCGATGGATATGTGCCAGGTGGATGGTTCAATACTCAAGCAAATGGAAGTGCGACAGTTCCAGATTACAGTTTAAAAAACATCACCACTCTTAGGCCGGGTGTTGGTGCTCAAAGGCTAAAGCACCTCGTCACCAGTTTGATATCTGCTGAGGATTTTCATGCGAAGCAATGCACCTGACACCCGAAACAGCGGGTAAACTACTATGTTAGTCTAATAAGTTGTACCTAGTAAGCGATGTCGATGATTGATCTTAGTTCATAGTAATAATGGCTGACAAGGGCATATTAGCAGGCTATATGTACTTAGTGGGGAAGAGAAGTTCATACCTACAATCATATATATAATTATTATATATATATATATATACATATTTGCATTACCAGCTTATCATATATGGTAATGTTCAATACAATATTCTTCTAGTTGCAAAACTGAAGGTGTACTGTAATGTATTATTCAGTTTACATAATGATGAGTGTTTTTGAGTCATGCTTGTTTAGTTTTGTCGAAGCAGGTTCGAGAATCGAACAACTGCAGGTTAATATGTTTCATACTTCCTGTAAATTAACCGGGAAAATATATTCGTTCATCTCTACGTTGCATTAAATTATGAAAAATAAAATAAGGGAGTTACATAAAATTATGAAAAATAAAATGGATACCTCCTCAAATATCCTCAAAATTCACCAATTTACGAAAGGAGTTGAGCATATTAACAATTTCTTCTGCTTGTGGATGACAAAGATCACCAACAAAGAATTCTTTGGCCGCGCCATTTACCTCTATCACACTGGAACCAGGTTTCTTATTCATTCCCGCTTCATAGATCATATTTCTGACTCTCTTCGCCTCCAATTCCCAGCCAGCTTCCTTGTACATATTATACGAAAGAACATGAATGCCACAGTCGGCTACTCCCATATCTGCAAGCTTCTTCCAAGTTCTGTCACCAACTTCAACATTCCCATGAACTCTACATGCAGCCAGTAATGCTCCCCACACGTTGGCATCCCCTCTTCCTAGCCCTCCCATCTTGTCCTCTATAAATTTCTCAGCTTCCTCCACCATGCCTGCTCTGGCCAATAGGTCAACAATGCAAGCGTAATGTTCAAGCCCAGGTTTAACCCCGTAAAGGGTCTCCATTTGATCAAACAATTCAAGGCCCTTGTCAACCGTTTTTGCATGTGTGCAAGCCGAGAGAACGGCAACAAATGTGGTCTCTGTGGGTTGTATCCTATCTAAAACCATATTATTGAAGAGTTCAAGCGATTTCAATGCATCCCCATTAATTGCAACTCCAGCGATCATAGCGTTCCATGCTTTAGCATCCTTGTTAAGAATGCCCTCAAAAACCTGTAATGCTGCTTCCACATATCCGCATTTCGAGTACATATCAACCAGAGCAGTGGCTAATCTCGTGTTCAATACAAGATTGCACCTTTTAGCATAGGAGTGCACCCACAGTCCTTGTGTGACCGCACCGAGATGAGCAGAGGCAGTCAGAACACTAACAAGAACCGACTCATTAGGCTTTGTGCCTGCTTCTTGCATTTGCCTAAATAAAAAAAGCACCTCCCTGAAGTCGTTCACCCGAGAATACGCAGCCATCATCGCACTCCAAGATATGGTGTTTCTCTCCGGCATTTTGTCAAACAAAGCTCGGGCATTCTCAACATTCCCTGTCTTCCCATACCCGTCAATCATTGCCGTCCACACTACCACATCCCTGTTAGGACTTTTATCAAACACCATCTTTGCAGTTTCCATATCATAGATTACGGCATAAAACTCAATCAGCGAGCTAATAACAAAAGGATCGTCACCATACCCGAACTGAATCGCATGGCCATGAACTAATCGACCACTGAGCTTCAAATTCAGTGCGAGAATCGTGCACGCTTTAATCAACGGCGGAAAAGTGTAGTTATTCGGAACAAACCCATAATTCAACATGTCTAAATAGTACGAAATGGCGGGAACCGGCGAGTGCGACTGAACACATCCTCGGATCATGGTGTTGTACATGAAGATGTTGCGGTGGTTATGGTGGTGCTTGAAAATTGAGCACGCGTAGGATAAAAAGGAAGCATCTTTGGAGGTTGCTGCCGCGGAGAGGAGCGGAGCAATGGCGTACAGGTTTTCGGGTAGACGGCATGTAAGGATGTGGGCGTGGATTTGCTTGAGCTGGTTTAGGGTTTTGCATTTTTGTGGGAGGGAAACAAGGCCTTTGCTTCTAACGGTTTTCTGAATCATCTGAATTGGCGGGTTTCCCTTTGGGCGGTCCCAAGTGGAGTCTGGACGTATGGGGGTTTACAATTACAACTTTGACTCAAATAATTATGGTTGCTTATTAGTACTATGGTTTAAGTGATATTCATTTTCACTTATAAATGAAATTTTTTATGTTTGATTCTCATCAAAGGTAAATTTGAACCATATTATTGCTAGCCCACTCTCATCCCCTTAATGTAAATAATATCGTTTGTTAAAAAAATATATATATATTTTTCACCTATAAGGAGGAGATCTTAAGTTCGATTATCGTCAAAAGTGAATTTGAACCACATTGCTTGCTAACTCATTGTGAGACTTAACCCACTCCTCTACCCCCTTAATGTAGGTTATATTGTTTGTTCAAAATAATAATAATAATAATCACGGTATTCACTTGTAAGTAAAAGGTCTTCGGTTTGATTTTCGTCAAAGGAGAATTTGAACCACATTATTATTAGTCCATTGTGAGGCTACGCTCACCCCCTCCCCTTAATGTAGAAATTTCATTTGTTCAAAAAAAAAAAATTGTCAAAGTATATTTCAAAATTATTTTTAAATTGTTAAAACATAGAAGTTTTTAAAAATCAAATTACATTTTAGCCTTTCAAGTTTGGGTTCAATTTCAATCTCATACAACATCTTTAAAATATTTCAATTTCATACATTTAATTATTATTTCATTTCAATTTCATACAACAGTAAGAAAACACATAAAACAAAGTAGGCTTAGTGCACGAAAATTGCAGCATGCAAAACAAGGCAATCTCAACACACGAAAAAAATTGGCATGCAAAACGAGCAGGGCAAGGCGCACGAAAAATGAGGCAGGCCGGTGCATGCAAAACGAGGCGAACTGACACACGTAAAACGATGCGGCCCCAGGCGCATTGTTGCCTGCACAAAGCATGGTGTCGATGTGGAGCATATATAAGCCACTATCCATATGGGATAAGGTTTAGTTTTAATCTCATGGGTCAACTATTGTTTGCCTATACAAACGAATTGTGTCAAGGTGAGGCGTTTATAGGGGGTAGAGTTTAGTTTTAATCTCACGTGTCAGCCATGGTTCATCGTACGAAACATAGGTGTCAGGGGTAAGGCATTTATAGGGGGTGTGTTTAGTTTTAATTCCAGGGGTCGATCGTTGTTGCCTGCATGAAGCATCGGTGTCGAAATAGGGCATTTATAGGTCGTTATCAATAGGGGGTATGGTTTCGTTTTAATCTCAATGGTTAACCATAGTTGGCCAGACAAAGCATTGTTGCCTGGGGTAGGCATATTATAAGTCACTATCAACCATGATATGATTCGCACTAAAGTCATAAGTTATAACAGAGTAACCCTTGTTTAAGGGAAAAAAAAAAACATTTATCCGTTGTACTATGGCAAGGGAAAAAAATTCGAGTGCGTTGGGCAATGAAATGCGCTGAACTCAAGGTGTTATTATTAACACGCCCCTAAACACTTGAACTCATGGTGTTACTATTCACGTGCCCCTAAACACTAAACCTCAAGGGCTTCCATTGCTTCTATTGCTGCTTGAACTTTCTAGTGGGCATAAGTTTGGGCTTAGGTGTGAGTTTGGACTGCGTCTCCCTACATCTAAACCATTAATTTTATTTATTTTAAGTTTTATTGTTTTATTTTTGTTAAATTTTCGTCTTGCCCATACCACAACACGAAACTATCATCTTCATGTTCTACAAAATGTATTTTTGGTGAAAATTTTCTAATAATCCATGTCAAAAAATTCGAAAATAAGGATATAAATATAAAAGGTATTTGAATCTAAATAAAGTAGCGCAGGAAGAAAAAGAAATTCAATGGAAAAAGAAAAAGAAAAAGGAGGGGGAAAAAAATGTTACGATCGGTACTTTCACTCCGATCCTTGTCGAAGGGAGTTGCTAGTAATCTAGCGATTTTATTGCTAGCACTCTAGCGATTGAATTCTTTAAGAATCGCTAGCTCCGCTAGCGCGCTAGCAATTATAATCATTTATAGTCGCTAGCTTTATACCGATCCCCCTCTTTTCAAATTTTTTATTTTTTCCTCTTACCATAACTACAAACTCAGTGGCGGAGCCAAGATTTTGGTGAGGAGGGGCCTCAAACAAGTATACAAGAAGAAAAAACGAATAGTGGTTATAAAATTACTAATGCAAAACATCATAATATTTATCCAAATAATTAAGTAGTCAAAATTAACATATGCATAGATAATTTTATATATCCATAGTAATCAAAATTATTCTTGACGAATTGCAATGAAACAGTTGCATAATGTCATCTATAGTATTTAAATAATTATTAAACTGAATAGAGAGAAGTACGAAAATCTTTGCAAACCCTAAAACTCAAGTAAGAGGTGAGATATAATAGAAACAAATGTTTTATAGTGAATAATAGAGTATTACAAACCTTTTTGTTCTTTATTCAATAAATTTGGGTTTTAGAATGGCTAAATATATGTGTTTGGACCTAAATTTACACTATCGGCCCGTGCAGTCGAGGCCGTTAGATGAGTAAAGTTCTAGACCGTGGGATGATAAAGTGATTAAGATAATTTTCCCTTTTTATTAGGGTATAATATTGTGATTTTTATCATAATATTATCTCTTAATATATATTGGATTATCTGAGCCTAATATTGGCTATATCCAGACGAAACAAATCATATTTCCAACAGAGATATAGTTCAAATGGTTTGCATGGATAATCACGGCATTCAAAGGAAACACTTTGATGGACTCCACTTGGAAGGCAATTGATGACTTCCACGTGTGCTCGCTTGGTCAGCTATACATGCATATCTTTGGCATATTTCAAGTCAGAGTTCTTATCAGCACAAAAGATATATGCTATTAATTATTATTAATTAGCACGAGGTAGTGTCGTGCTTATAATTGATATTTGTGCTGGTAAGTGATAAAGCATAACAATCTTTTGTTTTGCAAGAGATTGTTATGAATGAGGAAGCTTTGATGTTGGCGGCAGCTTTACAACACATGCCAAGCAGATATCCAACCCTATAAATACAGGGCTCAATGCACATACAAGGCCCCACAAAAATCAATACAAAATTGCCCTGCGCAAACTCTCACAACTTGAGATCTTTTTCTTTTCCTTTTTCGCTGACACATCTTCCGTTGGCATCAACAGCACTGTGGAAGCAACCGGTGATATCTTAAGTCGGCATAGATAGCTCTGTCACCGTAGAGTCGGTCGGTCTCGCAGTATCTTCCGTTGGCATCAACAGCACTGCGGCGAGAACGGTCGACTGCCTATCCAAGTCTCGGTCGAGAAGGGTTTTCGAATCCTTGTTGGTCGAGGTCATCTCATTAGCCTTCTCGGCGAGGTGGGGTGTTACAGTTATTACATTCGGCACATTGTAAGCCGAATTCGGTTCGTGAACTTCGCAAATTAGCAGCCTTGTCTTCAGGCTCGAGAGCCCAAGAGGCCGAGAATTGTTCCTTCCTCGGCCGCAATCGCAAGACACAGAAGTCAGCAGCGCGCTCAACGCAACATCAACAAATTTACTCCTCGGCCGAGCCTCGGCCGACGAGTTGGCACGCCCCGCAATCACCGAAGGACGTAGTTAGCTTAGAATATATTCGGCCTGCGCGCCACGTAGGTTTTGTAATTTCTAGGGTCAACAATATGAAATTCAATAAGAAAAGGTAAAAACTCTCCCCGTGCATAAGTGAAAGACGATTTTATTTTAATTAAAAGTGAATGATGGGTTTTAATTTAATGTTATTGATTTGTGAGAGGGTTGTGTTATCCACGCACCTCTTTTTGCTTTCCATACACCCTCTCAATTTGCGATCGTCTGATTGAATGAATTGAATATCGAATGACATAAATTAACAAGAGTGTGTTAAAGGTAAAAAAATGTATGCAGATAACACTACTCTTTGTAATAAACGACCATTTAAAAAATATACTTATTTTCGGGATGGTATCTATGAGATGAAAAATAGATAATGATTGAATTGTTGTTGAGAAGGGCTGCAAAGCAATAGAAATAGGTGTACCAATCTTATTTTTTAAGTGAGAGTAGGCCTGGGACTACTGTAGTCCTTAATTGCCTCCGCCACTGTACAAACTATCGTATTCATGTTCTTTAAAATATATTTGCCCATGCTAAATCTATTATAATTAATATTTAAACAATTGAAATTAACGATTTAAAACCTAAATTTAAAGATACTCTCATATTTTCAACTTTAAAAATCAATAAAAAATAGTTTTAGGACCTAATAAACGATATCACATCCAAAGGTCTTCCAATATTTTCCTTAACTCCGACGCAAATATTTCCTAAAGCTAAAAATTTCAAAATTTCACAGAAACTGTGATTTATAACCCATAGTTCTCTAATCGATGTTGAGAACTTTTACAATATTCGTTATAAGCCAAAGTTAGAGTCATTTTACTCGCACAACATGTTTCCTAAAATTAATTTACATTTCCAAGATTTTGGACACCTACAAATCTCTTTGGGAGACCCCACTATTAGTTTTCATTTTTTTTCTTTCAATTTTTCAACTTAAAAAAATTAACAAGAAATAGTTTTGAGGCTTAATAAAGGATAAAATCACTTCAAATGAACATTTTCGTTAATTCCCGCATAAAATATTTTATAAAGCTAAAAGTTATGGTTTAGCAATTAGTAATTATGATTTACTAATTAATTTTATGTAGTTAACAAGTGTTAGGTTTAGTAGTTTTTCAATATTTATCGAAATCTAAATATTTTTAGATTAAAACGTTTATAAAATTAAGTTTGGATAGTGTACATAATTTTTTATTTTCAAAAAAGTTACTTAAAATTAGTCTAAATCAAAATTTTAATAATTATGAACTAAAATTTTAACCTATTTGAAGCAAGAAAACTATTTATGGATTAAAACTTTTAATCCAAGAATTAGAATAGCGTCGATAAATGAGCAAAAATCGAACAAAAAATATTTAAGAAAAAAATGCACAAATTAATGAAAATACTCACGGTGTCAGTCACGCACTGTCACCTCCGCTAGGGCTTATACAAGGTTTACAAAAAAAAAACCCAAACCTTCGTTTTCCCTCTCTCTCCCTCTCTCCCTCTCTCCCCCCCTCCATTGCCAAACTGCAAAACCTCGCAGGCCCATGTCCCGCCTTTTGAACATTCTCTCCTAGGGTTTCGACATTCTGCACCAGTCGCTCGGAGTACCAAATTACCAATCGACAAACCAACCATGGTGCTACCGAAGCAGCTGCTCGCCACCATCGAATCAGCCCTGCTGGGCCCGTCGCCGCCGAGCCCGTCTCAGAGAGTGGAGCTCATGCACGCCATTCGCAGCTCTCTATCCTCCTTCCAGTCCCTCCTCTCCTATCCGGTACGCTTCCGCCATCTCTGTTCCATTTGATTTCTCTGAGCACAACGTAGGAAAAGAAAAGTTAACTGAACTAGAGAGCTTTTTGAAATTCTGTAATGGTAGATTTTTGAATTGAAGTTGTGCGTAGAGAGTTTCGAATTTGGAATTGTTGCTTTAGGGTTTTATTTTTTTTTCAAAAACTTTGTTTTCTAATGGTTTTCCTGGATTTTACTGTATTTGCTGAATTGTATTGACTACATTTTGTAGCCTCCGAAACCCTCGGACCGGGCACAAGTTCAGTCAAAAGAAGTCAGGCTTCCTGATGGACCGCCAATTTCGCTTGATGACCAAGATGTTCAGTTTGTTGTATAAGGTATAGCTTCTCTCCTTGTTTGAATGAGAAATGAGACAGAGCTTTTTGATTACATTTTTATCTCAATTTGATTTTGAATATTTTTGATGTAATTCTGTTGAAATTGGATCTTCGTTTAACTCGTGAAGTTTTAATATGAGTTAGGGACTTTCTTTCACTCAACTGCTTTGATAGTAACTGCGTCCCCCTTTTGCTTATATCTGCGAATCAAGAGGTAGATTTATGCTGTCTTTTGTTCATAATGATAGTCCATTGTCCCACAGTTTACATGTTGGAAGTATTACGTGATTTTCTGGCTTTGTTTAAATTGTAATTTTTTTGCATATTTGCTAGTTTTGGGGGCTAATGTAAAGGGAACACACTGGAATCTATTTGCGCCTTGCAGCGGGGCTCTGTCGCTAACAATGAAAGAGAATTAACTGCCCTTTCTATACGCCTTAGGTATTCTTCTATCCCTTCCTTAATCCTACACTTTTATTTATTGTTTGGGTCATTACTTAAATGTGATTTCATACTACTGCTTTTGCAGGCTGTTGTGCTTGATCAGGGGCTTGAAGCTGATCTCGTGTCTGATATTCAGGAATACTTGGAAAATCTTATCAATAATGGGCTAAGACAAAGATTGATATCTCTTATAAAGGTTTGGAAGCATCTCTCAACTTTTTTCTTACGTGTCACAGTTGCTTTGTGGTTAATTTCACAATGGCATTTGGAGGCTTTTGTGGGTTTGATTATAGGAACTTAATCGAGAAGAACCAGCTGGCCTGGGTGGGCCTCACTCTGGACTAATTCTAGAGTTCTGGACGGCTCACATCTCATACTTGGACATTGCCTTGTGCTTTCTGTTATGGTTGTGCGGATGAGTAAGCAACACATCTTATGGTTTTTTTTTTTACCACAGTGCTGTTTTTGCGCATACTGAATACTTACAGTGTACTGTTGGATGCATGCAAAGAACTTACTGTTGTTTCTTGTGAGTTTGACCTTATTTTGGTCTGAGTCTTACCTTATTTTGAAACTGTAGTCATTTTTTATTAGTGTTGCCTCCGTAATTAAACACTTACTGAGGAAATGGTCAATCTGGATCTTTTTGGTGAATTAAAAGTGCTGGAATCTCTTAACATGATTCATAGTAACATCTTTATTGGATATGTTGATTGCAGGTTCAAAGGATATAAAGGATATGTTTTTTGTTTTAAAAGACAGTGCTGCTGAACTTAGTGACACTAACAACACCATGAAACGTCAGGCATGTCCTTCTCTTCATGCTGAGTGATTTAGTTTTAGTTCTTGTCTGTTTGTAAGGTTGGGCTTGAAATTTACTGGACAGTTGATGCTAGTTGTCTTTATCACAAGCACAAATTTTATGCATGTATCTACTTATTATTTTATACATCCTCTTGTGCATTTGTGTCTACATATGATGTTGCTGCCTCATCACACTATTTATACATTTATGTTTTTGCAGATTACATTTAGTCTTCTTTTTTCTTTGGTGATCGCTTTCGTATCAGATGCTCTGAATGCAGTACCTGATAAAGCATCTGTTCTGTCCAGTGATGCCTCTTTTCGACATGAATTTCATGAAATAGTAAGACACAAAGCTTGGTTGGTTTTTCTTCGCAGTGTTTATGACTTTCCGAGTAGGATTTGGAAATTGATGGTCCTTCTGTTTCAGGTAACCGCTGCTGGAAATGATCCAAACGTTCAGGGTTTTGTTAATAGCACAAGGCTTGCTTGGGCTGTACACTTGATGTTAATACAAGATGCTATTACTGCAAGAGATACTATTTCAAGTGCTTCATCGAGTGATATGGGTTACCTGCAGTCTTGCTTAGAAGCCATTTTTTCAAACAATGTTTTCCAGTTTATGATAGATCAAGTTCTACGAACTGCAGCATATCAGGTTGGTTTGTGATTTCTTCCATTGGTCGCTGTCAAAAGTGTTTGATCTTAAATATCCAATTGTCTTGGTCACTAAACTTTCCTAAATTTTCTGTTATTGGAATGCTTTGTAATTTGTGCAGAATGATGATGAGGATATGATTTATATGTACAATGCTTATCTTCACAAACTGATCACTTGTTTCTTATCTCACCCACTCGCCAGGGACAAGGTCAGTTGAAATTTTGTGGTATATAGCTTGGAAATTCAATTTTGATGTATAAAATATTAACATGCGATAAACATATCAAATAATGCAGTTGAGAGACTAACTTGGCCTATATGTCTCTCATTTATTCTTAAAAGTGAATTAGTTTGCAACTTCAGTGCTATCCAATTTCTTATAACTGACCAAGCTTGTGGATGAGAGGTGGATTATTAAAATCTGTATATGCATTGGGCATTGGAGGATATATGAGAATGAGCTAGTCTGATTTGCTAGTTGCTACTACCTTAGAAAATATGGATTCAGGATTCTTGATTGCATGAGTGAGATGTGTATTTCTGCACGGGAGGTGAATAATGAACACTTTGTTCGTGCACTTGGTGCAGCAAAGATTTGATTACAAAATATGAACTCCAGTTCACTACTTATGTAGCACACTGCTAGTGGGTAATGCTGATCAGAACATTCTGCACTTAGGCAGTTTGAATTTATTCCCTCCTTCTCTTTCTCGTCATAATATATTCCAAGTCTCTCTCTCTCTCTCTCTCTCTCTCTCTCTCTCCCCACCCCCATGTATGTTTGTAATGTGGTTCACCCCTTCGTTTGTAAGTTTGTAAGTTTTTTCTTACAACTTGGTAAGTATCCTTACAGGTAAAAGAATCAAAGGAGAGGGCTATGAGCATGCTTAGTCCATACCGCATGGCTGGATCACATGATAGTAACTTAACTTCTCAACAAGTCTCTGAAACTGGCCCATTATCCTTCGTCTCTCTTTTGGAGTTTGTGAGCGAAATTTATCAGGTTAATTTGAACCAGAACACTTTTCAAAGTCATGTCAGTTTGATAGAGATTTCATTCGTCCTTGGATGAATCTGTGTTTCAATTTTTTTTCTTCTTAATAAGAAAGAGCAATTTTATTGTTGAAGGAAGAATTACTATTACTCAGCTTAAGCCATTAAATTACTTGTTAGTTAAGCATGTTAACCCCATCTTGATATGTGACATTCTTTTTCCATTTTGAGGACCTTATCAATTTTAAACCATTCTTTTTTTTTTTTTTACAAAAAAAAATTCAAATGACATTGACTTGATTTTCTTGTCTTATTATGTAATACAAGAAGTACAGTAGTATAATTTCCTTAAGATTCATCTGCTACAGGTTTTATTCAAATAAATTCAAGTAATGTTTCTTGCTGTCTTGTTTATCATGTATCTTTCCGTTGTATTCTGTATGCTTTTGTTTATGTGACTTGGAGCTCATATTTGCTTTCTTTGTGATTATTTTTCCCCAGAAGGAACCAGAGCTGTTGTCTGGCAATGATGTCTTGTGGACATTTGTGAATTTTGCTGGAGAGGATCATACAAATTTTCAGACGCTTGTGGCTTTCTTGAATATGCTGAGTACCTTGGTATGAAGAACACATTCCAGTTGGTAGAATTTTGATATCTGAAGCATGCGTTGCTAGTATGCAATTTCCTATGGTCTGATTCTTGTGTTCTTGTCTTCCTTTCAGGCTTCTAGTCAAGAGGGTGCCTCAAAGGTTTTTGAGTTACTGCAGGGTAAAGTGTTCCGCTCCGTTGGGTGGAGCACTTTGTTTGACTGCTTATCAATTTATGATGAGAAATTTAAACAATCTCTTCAAACTGCGGGTGCCTTGCTACCGGAATTCCCAGAGGGGGATGCAAAAGCACTTGTTGCTTATTTGAATGTCCTTCAAAAGGTTTTTATCCGCTATATTCACCCAATTGATTTCTTTTGTTCTTATTTACCAGTGGTGTAGCATAGTCATCTCTTTGTGTCATTGGCGCTACCATTTGACATTCATAATACCATTTGATGTTCATAATATAATCATCTCTTTGCTGATGAGCAACTTTACGTCCCTCCTTCTCTTTGGTCTACTTAAAGTATTTTTTTTATTTGATATTATCTTTCCTTTCCCTATGCCTATTTAAATTAGTCTTTCAACAGTTTACAAATTATTAAACTAGAGTGCTTATTAGAACAAAAAAGAAGTGAAGTTGATGATTCATTATATAATCCATTGTGCAAATGCTAAAAGACAGTCTCATTATGGTGTGTTGGTAGGAATAACCTTGTGTTTCTTTGGATTGTGCTGCAGGTTGTGGAAAACGGAAATCCCCTTGAAAGAAACAATTGGTTTCCTGATATTGAGCCTTTATTCAAGCTACTTGGTTATGAAAATGTGCCTCCTTATGTGAAGGTTGATCACTATATTTAATGCTGCTTCATTGAACAATCCTAGTATAACTTTTGTGGTTTCTTTAGTGATGGTTGGAAGCTTCAAGTGAATTTCTTGTTGTTGATAAAGCATGCTGCTAACTTTGCAGGGTGCTTTACGTAATGCAATCACAACTTTTGTTCATGTCTCCCCGAGCCTAAAGATACAGTTTGGAGTTATCTTGAGCAGTATGATCTACCTGTGGTTGTTGGGTCTCATGTTGGGAAGAGTGCACAGCCCATGGCAGCACAGGTTGGTTTAGGGTGGTATCTGTATTTTATTCTAGTAGGGAATAATTAGGTGTTGAATAAGTAATACACACCACTCTTTATAATTATTTTCTTAACCCTGTATGGTCAATCTATGATATATTTTCTTCTCATTAATGCATAGACAAGTTATGGGTCTTAAGATGGTCTGAGGCAAAATAGGATTGTTTTATTTTAGGGACATTAAAGGGTTACTTTCTTATGGTTTGGCAACCATGGGATACATCCTTTTAGTAGTTGTTTGGGTATAGTGGTTAGTATGGGGAAAATTGGGTCCAATATATATTTTATATGTTAAAACTATCATGTCTTTTACAGGTATATGATATGCAATTTGAGTTGAATGAAGTAGAAGCAAGGAGAGAACAATATCCTTCAACAATATCTTTCCTTAAGCTGCTAAATGCTCTTATTTCTGAAGAAAGAGATCTAAGCGATAGAGGGCGTAGGTTGGTTTGTGATTTATCTGACATTTAATTTTGACACTTTCTCTGGAATGCTCACACTAGTGACGAGAGGTTTTTCTTGTTTGGTAGATTCATTGGCATTTTTAGGTTCATCTACGATCATGTTTTTAGGCCGTTCCCTCAAAGAGCCTATGCAGATCCTTGTGAGAAATGGCAGTTGGTTGTTGCTTGTCTTCAGCATTTTCATATGTGAGTTAATCCTACCTTCCATGTTAGAAGCATTTCAGGGTTTTATTTCATCTTATCTGCATGATTACTTGCCACCACCTCCACTGTTTCCTGTATTTTCTCGATTTTTTTTGCTTGAACCTGATCTATCTGATTGGTATAATTGTTAACTTCGTGTGGTTTAGTCTTAGATTTTGAATATTGAGAATTTTGGATCTTCATGTGATTTAACATGCAGGATATTGAGTCTGTATGACATCAATGAGGAGGACATTGATGGTGTCACTGATCATTCTCAGCTTTCAACAGTAACACAACCATCTCCACTCCAGATGCAGCTACCCATATTAGAGTTGCTAAAAGTTGGTTCTTCTCCATTCTGTTTATTCATGTAATTTCAAATCCAGCTTGTGGACATTAAATGCTAATAATTGTGTTGCGTTTATCACTTTATCTAGAACCTCAAAGGTGTTTAGTGCTTTTGCCTACACCTTTCTGGAGTTGTGATTGTGTCTACTTAGTTTGCCTGAGTCAGCGTGAAATATCTTAGTTGTATCTTTATGATATTAAAGCAAGCCTGTTAATAATGGTAGTGTTTCATTCTTCATAATTAATTCCTTCTTTTATTTTTACTTGGTGTGGTATTCAATCAGTCATATGTACATACATATGTTCCTTCTATTAGTGTGATTGAAATTGTCACTTTAATTAGTATAAAGGTCGTACCCAGTGCACAAGGCTCCCGTTTTACGCAGGGTCTGGGAGAGGTGAATGTCGGCTAGCCTTACCCCCATTTTATGGAGAGGCTGCTCCCAAGTCTCGAACCCGAGACCTACCGCTCATGGGCGAAGGCACTTGCCATCGCACCAAGTGCGACCTCTTGTCACTTTAATTAGTATGATTTTGGATATTTCTTGTATATGACTTTGCCATCTGGGTTGCATAAGGATTTGCTCTTGATGTTGATCTAATGTACAAAGATGCTATCAGGTTCATTCTTACTCTAACGACAATCTTTTTTACAGGACTTCATGAGTGGCAAAACTGTCTTCCGGAACATATGGGCATTCTTTTGCCTGGTGTCAATGCCATCATAACTGAACGGACAAATGAAGTGTATGGGCAACTTTTAGAGAAAGCTGTGCAACTCTCTTTGGAAATTATAATCCTCGTCTTGGAGAAGGATTTGCTTCTTTCTGATTTTTGGCGTCCTCTTTACCAGGTTTATTTTTGGTACCCGTTGTATTGGCTTATTTTTAAATAGACTTTGGCAGACATTGTCTTTCTTTGGTTTTTGTTAATTTTCTTGGTTGTGTGCAATACATGCATAATTCTTTCAAGGATTTCATTCTCATTATTATTATTGTCTTTTTTTTTTCCTGCAGCCTCTGGATGTTATACTCTCTCAAGATCATAATCAAATTTTAGCCTTATTGGAATATGTCAGATACGATTTTCAACCTCAAATTCAGCAGTGCTCTATCAAAATCATGAGTATATTAAGGTAACTCCTCTCTTTCATTCTGTGTTTGTTTAATTCTTATCATCTGATCTTTGATATCTGGCCCAGAGTTGATCTGATGGGGCAACACTGATATATCGCCCAGAGCTTTAAGCTTCGAACCTTTTTCGAACAATTTAACATTTTTTGTATATTAATTTTTGTACAAATATTTAATAAGCATCATGGTTGGAAGCACAGCAATGTATCATTATTTTGGGAAATCCAATGCTGCAAGCAGTTTGATTGAGGATTATGCAGCTTGCCTAGAATTACGGTCAGAAGCATGTCAGATCATAGAGAACATTAGTGTCGAGGAATCCGGGTGATTACTGTTGCACTGAATTGCATTATTCCATTGTTTCCATTATTATTCCAATGTTTATTAATTTACAATTCCATAATTATCATTTACATTTTTACAGCTTCTAGTGGACAATATCAGTAGGCCGGCTCCCAATATCACCCATTTACTACTCAAGTTTGATCTTGACAGGCCTATTGAACGGACTGTTTTACAGCCAAAATTTCATTACAGGTTTAGTTGCTTTAAAGATGCCCTAATGGTTTCATATATATGCAATCCAATTACTCTCCAGTGAATTGTGCTCTATAATGTTATTTGCAGTTGCTTGAAGGTTATTCTTGAAATCTTGGAGAAGCTTTCAAAGCCTGATGTGAATGTGTTGCTTCATGAATTCGGTTTCAAGGTTAGATCAAACAATCTCTACCTCTGCAGGGATCTCTTTCCTTCTCTCTGTTCTCTTTCGGATCCTGCATTAGTGGCTTGTTCGAATTTTTCTCATGAGAGTTTCTTGACTGTTTTCTTTGCAGCTCCTTTATGAGTTGTGCCTAGATCCTCTAACAGGTGGTCCTACTATGGATCTGTTGAGTAGTAAAAAGTATCAGTTTTTCATAAAGGTAACATTTGAAGCTCTTGAATAATACTTTAAAAAGTTGATGATAGTTGTGTCTTATTCTAATTTTTGTTCAGTCTTCTTTTTACATGCATCTAAAATTCATTTACGTTTAACACAACAGCACCTGGATACGATTGGGGTTGCTCCACTTCCTAAACGAAATAACAACCAGGCGCTTCGCATCAGTTCCCTTCATCAGGTTTCTTCTGTAATTATTTGGATGTGGTGATTTGTCTATCACTTTTTTGTAGATTGCCTAATTAGTTTTTTGTGGATAAAAAAAGTATTGGTGGAAGCAAGAATGGGTATGTAAAGGATGAGGCTGTTCTACTACTTAGCACATACAGATGACTATCCTAAGATGCCATAATTGCTTTGAATACTACTATTTGTTTTCCTTTCATTTGTAGAATAATGAAAAAACCGTAGTAGTTTAGTTACTGAAATATTGAAATAATTTTGTACAGTACATTGCCTTTTTTTCTTTTTTTTTTTAACATAGATATTTTCCTGTCATGATGGATGATACCTTAGTGAGATGTCATAATCTATCTACTTTAGTTGTCTTCCAAATTAATTTGTTCATCACATTCATTCTGCATCCTAGTGCATCAACAGCTTTGAGTCAAGGCTGCCCTTCTTGAGTCTTGAAGCTTAGTCATGACTCATACATCGTTATAAGAAAATATATTGACATCCATAGGTGGTGTATTTTTGCAGTTCATTAATATCTATATGTGATGCTTGCTTTCCATTCCCTAAATTATATATGATTCTTATTGTTTGCATATCTAATACCTACTGTCGCTTCTACCTTATTGTTCACAGAGAGCTTGGCTGTTGAGACTATTAGCCATTGAATTGCATGTTGGTGATGTCAATATCCCTACTCACCGGGAGACATGCCTTAGCATCCTTGCGCATCTTTTTGGGCAGGAAAATGTTGAAACTGGAATTGATTCTCATTCATTTTCCCTTGAAGATGGCATGGAAAATGCTGTAGCCCTCACTGTTAGTAAGAGTAAGGTATTGATAATTGCTTAGTTGTGCATGTGTGATTTAATCTCATGCCATTATCAAAGACTTAATCTTTGAATGGTCTTCATACTTTAAACAATAAGGATTGAGGATGTTCGTGATGAGTCTTTAATACTTTATAACTGTGGTTTTTAATATTTTAATTTTTAATTTTCCTGGAATTTCTTTGTCCAATTCAATTATAGCTGTCAGATTAAACTTAGTTTCTCTTCCCTGGTTCCTCAGATAATTAATTCATTTCTGGGATCTTATTCAGGTGTTGGAGTTGCTTGAAGTAGTCCAATTTAGATCCCCAGATACCACGATGAAGCTCTCTCCGGTTGTTTCTAATACAAAATATGAACTGTTGGTAATATTCTGTTCCATAATTGATTGTATATTTGAGCATATTTATAAGTTAATTTGCTAGTGATAGTTTGATCCTTATATCTTATTTTGTTCGCTTGTGCTGCATTTGATCAAATATGTATCTTAGGTGGATGACATACTTAGTAATCCTACAACTTCTGGGAAGGGTGGTGTCCATTATTACTCTGAGCGTGGTGATCGATTGATAGATCTTGCTTCATTCCGTGACAAACTTTGGCAGGTTGCTTAATTAAGTTCCAGAAAGTGGATTTATACAATGAGTGCAATTTTTTTGTTCCATGAATTAAAAACAGTTAACCCAGTTGCTGATTTATATTGTTCCTTTGGTCAGAAATTCAATTCTGTTTATCCTCAGTTGAGTACCATTGGCAGTGACCTAGAGCTGAACAATGTAAAAGAAACAATTCAACAGTTGTTGAGATGGGGTTGGAAGCACAATAAGAACCTTGAGGAGCAAGCAGCCCAACTTCATATGTTAACTGGCTGGTCGCATGTTGTTGAGGTCTGTTCTTTTCTTTCATAGTTCACAAAATTGAGAAGTCTTCCATTAGGTTTTAACCTTAAAGTACTAATTTTGTCATAATTACATTGACCAACATTTGTCATTTTCTTCTCTGAATAGATATCTGCATCCAGAAGAATATCATCACTTGGAAATCGCTCTGAAGTTCTATATCAGTATGTCCATTATTATAGTCTTCTATTTCATCATTTTCTACATTCTCTTTACTTATTGTCTCGTCATTGACAGGGTTCTTGATGCTGCTCTGACTGCTTCTGCTTCTCCAGACTGTTCATTGAAGATGGCATTTATGCTGTGCCAGGTATGAATGATTTATTTTTCTGGTCTTACAATTTTGCGCTGCAGTTGAAAGTTATCGGTCTTTGTCTCTGACTAAAAAATGGAAAATTCCTTAGGTTGCTCTGACATGCATGGCAAAGTTAAGAGATGAAAGATTTTTATTCCCTGGTGGTCTTAGTTCTGATAGTTTGGCATGCCTTGATATTATCATGGCAAAACAATTACCAAATGGAGCTTGTCACTCAATCCTGTTTAAGCTTATGCTGGCAATTCTAAGACAAGAATCATCAGAAGCCTTAAGGAGACGGTATGTTCTTGGTCAGGATATTGGTTTTCTGCTCCATCCTTGTAAACTCTTTCACTCAGCATCTGACCTTCATTAATCATTGTTTTCAGGCTATATGCTTTGCTTCTTAGCTATTTTCAGTATTGTCAACATATGCTTGATCCAGATGTCCCGTCAACTGTTCTCCAATTCTTGCTGCTTGAGCAAGATGGTGATGATATGGATCTCCAGAAGGTGTGTAGTTTCTATGATTGCAAGGCAAAGTCTTTGTTTTGCACTAAATTTCATGTGGAAAGGATAGCTTTAACAAAGGTGATACTACATATGTTATTTTCTCAGATCAACCGAGAACAGGCAGAACTTGCTCGTGCCAATTTCTCTATATTAAGGAAAGAAGCTCAGTCTATTTTAGATTTGGTAAGTGTTTATTCTTGGCGGATTGTTTGGTATCTAATAGAATATCTAGCCTGATAAATTTAGGATGCATGACCAAATATATAATTTAAAAATGAAGAATTCTGTAAAAGATGTCTTTGCTTGTAGAAAGGTTCTGCAGTATCTAAATGATAGGTGAAGATAGTTCATGCATATCTGCTACATCTATTTGAGCAACGGATTATTTAACTGCACCATAGTTTTGAGTGCATGCGCTTCACACAGACATGCAGGCACTTTTAAATTGATGCTGATTTTGCAAATACCATTTTTCCTGTCTTTTTATCTTTGACATATTTTTCTTTTTAACTATGAATGTTCAGGTAGTAAAGGATGCTACTCAAGGCAGTGAACTTGGAAAGCAAATGGCACTCTATGTTTTGGATGCATTGATTTGTGTAGATCATGAAAGATATTTCTTAAGCCAACTTCAAAGCAGGGGTTTCTTAAGATCTTGCTTAACGAGCATCAGCAATTTATCTCATCAGGTTGTTGTTTAGTCAATCATAAAGTTCAATATTAGGGTTTTTTTTTATTGTATTTTATTTGGCAGGTTTAAATCAGCTAATTGAAAGATCTCCTGTTTTCAAATTTGTTAGAATATTTTTCCTTGTTCATAGTGTTTTTATGGGAAGAGGCTTTTCATGAACTTACTTTACCATTCTACTGATCTGACCTTATTTTTTAATTAAGCATAAATTTTTGGGCAATCCCACTTTGGAGATACTGTTACCATGAGCACCATTACGAGTCTTACCCAACACATATTGACACTTGAGAAAATAAATAAACTTAAAATGTGATAGGAAGAAACTTTGCCAGTATGAAATCCTTTTAGGAAGTGACATATTTGCCCATCCCAATATTCTTTTACTTGCCGATCTTTATTGTATATATGAGTTTGTTTTGATTTGAATTTTGGTGTAATTATTGTTTTTTCTTCTATGATGTCAATGTTCGGGTCTTTCATACTATCTCTTTTTAAGTATTTTTGCTGGGCACTTCCATGTTGCCAGTTTTTACTTTTTAACTTTGCATATACGATCTCACATAATTTGCTAAAACTTTGCACTAGGATGGTGGACGTTCTCTAGAACCATTGCAGCGAGCATACACTCTTGAGGCTGAACTTGCTTTACTACTGAGAATAAGTCACAAGTACGGGAAATCTGGAGCTCAGGTTCTCTTTTCCATGGGTGCTTTGGAGCATATTGCTTCATGCAAGGCAGTCAACTTTCTCGTAAGTGCTGCTTATATGCTTCATTTATATAAGAAACACAAACTGCTTGTGTGCTTACACAGACAATTTCTTCCATCTCATTGCTCAATTCCATATTAATGCAGGGAAGCTTGAGATGGGTTGACACAAAACATCAAAGAGATGTTCCAGTGGATATCAAGAAGCAAAGGATGATTATAACTCCTATTCTGAGATTAGTGTTTTCTCTGTTGTCGTTGGTTGATACTTCTGAATTTTTTGAGGTTAGCCTTCCTTTCATTCATTGATTTTTCTGTTCTTAGTAAGAAGCTTTTGAAAATTTCTGGTTCTGTTGTCCAAAAAGCGTGGTTTTATCATGGTAGGCTTCATCTACTAGAGATAATTTTACCTGCTAAACTACCTTGCAATTGTGATGGAAATTGTCACTATTAGGTTGTTATTTCTTCAGTGTCCTTTTTAATGCATTTCAGAAAATGTCGTTTATGTTTGGATTTATATAACAGGTGAAGAATAAAATTGTTCGTGAAGTACTAGATTTTGTCAAAGGGCATAGATCACTTTTTGATCATGTTCTTCGGGAAGACATTTCTGAAGCTGATGAACTGGTGATGGAGCAGATAAATCTGGTTGTTGGTATCCTTAGCAAGGTAAGAATTCTTCTATAGTCTATTTTCGATTGCATGAAATACATTCAACAATCTGGGTCAACTTTAAGCATGCTTTGAGCCTCCAATAATATGTCTCAATAAATGGTCTTTGAACAGTTGAGTCTTGCAACATGACTGAGAAGGATTGGATCATCCATTTTTTTGGGGTATCCAACTGGATCCCTAAAATTCATTTTTCCATTTTCGACATATATCGTAGTATAAGCTGCAATGCTGTTTTTTAATTTCCTGTCTACTTTTTCGTTAATATTGTTCTACAAGCTGTCATTTTCTACATGTATATTTAATAGATGCAATGCACTTCAACTTTTCCCCCTTTGTAGGTTTGGCCATACGAAGAGCGTGATGAATGTGGCTTTGTTCAAGGGCTTTTTGGTTTGATGCATGCTCTTTTCTCTCGTGACTGGGAGTCTCTCAGTACTACTCGATCAATTCAACGTGTTGAGGTTTGGACAGTTTCTTTTTATGCCTAGCCTAAAATTGACATATCGACTGTTACAATCTTGTAACTTAGTTTTTGATATTTCTGTTTTCTTTTCCCCCTTGTTTGATGGCGAATGAGCAGAATCAGAGGAAGACAGAGCTTAACTCGTTTCAATTATGCTTCAGCCTAAGCTCTTATCTATATTTTCTGGTCACAAAGAAATCCCTTAGACTGCAGGTACATTTTTTATTTTTGACCTGCTCAAGTTATGTTTGGTTGATATATCTGCTGATTCTTCCACTAACGAACTACTTTACTACAGATCTCAGACGTTCCCCTAGATTACAATGCTGCTGTGGGACTTCAACTTCCCACATTGAGTTTGCTGGGTTCTTTTCTCACTTCTGTCACAACTGCTCTTGAAAGAGCCGCTGAGGAAAAGTCCTTACTACTCAATAAGGTAAAATTGGATTGAAACAACATTTTCCCTTGCGTTGCTTCATAAATTTTTTAATACCGATTTGATATTTCCTATTGTATATAATATGCAGATTCGAGACATAAATGAATTATCGAGACAGGAGGTGGATGAAGTTATTAATATATTTGCCCGGCAAGTTTTTGTTTCGCCATCAGACAATATCCAGAAAAGGTAATTGAGTTTCACCATTATGCTCAACTAAGAAGTGAAGTGGTCTTTGTTCAATTGACTTGCTCAAGACTGCATTTCCATGATTCCATCGGCATCAGTTCGTTGACACGTATTATTCCCGGTTCATGGAGCATATAATTGTCTTCTGGATTCTCTTGTTTTATAGGAGGTATATTGCGATGGTGGAAATGTGCCAGGTTGTTGGTATAAGGGATCAGTTAATAACTATTGTACTTCCGCTCGTGGAACATGTGCTGAACGTTTTCCTTATCCATTTCCAGGATAGGTATGGACCTTATTGTTCGTTTCTTTCTTTTGAAGGGTTGGTTGTCTTTGTTTGTTGAGGCTCATAAGAGATCGTATCAGTTACATAACCCTGTATGTTACCAGTGGATCGTGGCTATTTGGTTTGTTTATCCAAGATGTTGGTATTGACCTTCTTTTCTTAACAGCTCATTGTTATCCAATGCCAAGGGATCATTGAAGACAATCACGTACGGTGCCAAGTCTGAACAGGCACAAGACATGGCTTCCGTGTGTGGAAATCTAATTCGCACTTTAGAACGACTTGAGTTACTAAGCGAGGTACGCCTTAGTTTTATACTGCAGTTGCTAGCCTGATCATTCTCAGTTGCTAAATGTAAGATTTTTCATTTTTTGCCCCTTTCTTCTCTTCTCAGGATAAAGTAGGCCACAATCTGAAGGTGTTTCGGAGATTAGCGACTTCACTCAAGGAAATGGCGATTCAGCGGTTAGGCTCTTGAGAATGTTCGAACCAGCTACTGGTCCGACTCGATGAATCTCACATTAATGTATCCGGTCTTGTATTCTAATGGCATAGTGTTGTTGTACATTAGGTTGTGTGATATCAGAGACTCTGTAAAATGCTAAGTTATACAACTTTTTGTCCATCGAAATCTCCGATTCTGTATAATGCTGGAGTTCTGAAAAAATGAACTGTTGATGAAGTTGCAATGAGATTATCGGTTAGATTAAAGTGATTGAATTCTGATACGAGCTGTATCAGGTAAACAATGAGATCGAATTTGGAGACATGGTTCTGGTTGAACTACTCCGAAGGCAATGCCGTGGGCATTGGTGCAGTTCGAAGTCAAGTTCTGTCCTTGTAAGCCGGTCTAAGGTACATCGATTTCAAAAATATTCCGGTGCAAGCGGCAGGCAGTGTGATTGGTTTTACCAGTTCCTTGCAGGCACCTCTGCTGCAGCAGCAGTTTTGATCGATAATTATGGGGTTCTTAACAGAAAGGAAAATATGTGCTCCAACCTGACCCGTCGGACGTAGCCTTAGCAAACCTTGGTAGGAGAAATGTCGGAACAATATGTTACTCAAAACAGTGAAAAATTGAATTAGAATATCGCTCGAACTTGTATCCGAAATTTCGGGTTTTGTTCGGTACCTGTTATGTCTTGATCCGAGCTCCGTTGGTGGTTCCTTGGAGGTAGACCTGAACAAAGTTCCCACTCCGCCCTAATCTTCTAATGCTGCTTTCAAACACAATAAATGGATAAACACATAATTTTGTACTATGATCTGGTGATACTCTTTTTAACTTGGAAGTGAGAGGTTTTAGGTTCGAATCTCATGAATAGTGAATTCGATATCAAATTAGATCGCCCATTGTGTGACTTACCCAAACTCCCCCTCTTCCTAGTGTAAAAATATCGATGTACTTAAAAAAAGTGGATAGACACTGAGCTTTCCATGTAAGTAATTGACGGATAGCGATTTTCACACAACCATTTTCTCATGCACTCCTCTTTTTCGGTCCCTTGATTCTCTGATTCAATCCGAAGGACAGAAAAATAGGGAGGAGCGCAGAAGGAGGAATCCGAAAGTCAATATTCTCGAGAAAACATGATTAGAGAAATTCTTACCTGATTCTGTGACTGGACCCAATCCACATTTAACATCGGAGATGATTATTGGATATGTGGTCTCCAATAAAAACACAATCATCACCTGATAACATCACTAATTTCGTGTCAATGTAGATTAACAAGTATTTTTTTTCGCCGAGAAAGTAAAAAAAAAAAAGGAAAAATTGAGACCATGACTGCACAGTTGTGAGAGGCAGAAATGTGAATTCCATCAGGGTTGGGGCCTCTCTCCGGAGCTTAATTCAGCATGTTGTCCATGTGAATCCCTTCTCACCCTTCTATTAAGACATGGATTTGGGAGCTATTTACGAAATGAACCTCGCTAGTGCTGCTGTTATTACACGACAGAAACTTCACCGTCTGCATTTAACACGGACTGTGATTCTCTCCGGGGCTCAGATGAATTAGCAAAAGTTAGCTTATAATTTTCAGCTTTTGAAGATGTTTAATAATGTATAAGTTATTAAACACGCATTTATGTTACGATTGTGAAAGACGTCTATGCGAGCCAAATTACACATTTTTCATGCACAACATGTGATTTAACTGCTACCTTAAGTATTTTTCTTTTCGTTTCGTGTTTTTTTTTTTTTTTTTTTACATATCCGCTTAACCATTTAACTGTAGTTCTGATTAAATGGTTGTCGTCGTTCTTTTTCCTTATCTAAAACAGAAGAAGCTTCTCCACTTCTAGTTTCCATGCTTCGAATCCAACAGCAGAAAACTGCATGTTTAGATTGAATGGTTAGCTAGAAAATTTGTTAACAAATTGTTTAAAGAAAAAAAAAAAGTAGTTTTGCTAAGTTTTTTCTTTTTAAAGTGGCTTCCATTCCATACCATTTCATCACAAACATCAACCAAAATAATCGATGTCTAGGGTAATAGGGTGTAATCATGAAGGGTGGCCTTTAGCCAAAGTGGAACCTCAATAAATTCCTCATGAGCATTAGAGATCTTTCATTATGCTTGAAATACGGATGGTACAATACATGTCATTATATAAGTGGAGAGAAGTTTTATTTTTTAAGTTGTTAATCTTTTAACATAAATATCTCATCACTTGTACAATGACACGTGGTGTACCACCCTGTGTTTCGGACACATTGGAAAATCTCTCCATGAGTACGAGAGATTTTTTAGTGTGGCAAAAACATTGCTTGGTATATAAAGTGTACAATTAGTTAGAAAATGATTTATCAACCAGTGTTTCCGACACACTGAAAGATTTTTTTTGACTTGAATGGCTACATGGAATATTAATGCTTTTCATCGATCAAGTGACGCTAGGACTACTTATTAGGTGCAAGAGAGAATCTCTACTCTTGAACTCTTAGGCCATCTCCAACCGAAGGGGTTAGAGGGTCGAAAATAACCCTAAAACCGTCTCCAACTGAGGGTTAAGCCAAAGGGCTCGTGGGCCCCACTTGACAAAAAAGGGCCAAAGGGCCAACCGGCTAGCCCAAATGAGCCAGCCAGTCGGCCCCGAGTCAGGCTAAAAATTTTGAATCTCAACAGCTAACTGACATCAGCTAGCCGTTATTATTATTTTTTTTTACAGTTTTTTTTTGGCCAAAATTTTAAAAAGAATATTTAATCAAGGCCCATAAAGGTGATTGGTTCTATGTAGAGATGTTGCTTTTATAAGCATGTTTGATTGCTCAAACCTCTCCCACAACCGATATGGGACAAATATAATGGGTGCCACACATGCAAGCTTTTGCTTGCTCAATTCTTTCCCGATGTGAGACAAATATAATGGGTGCCCCAAATATAAGCTTCCTATAAGAGATGGTAAATGTGCATTTAATTTAAGTTGTTGTAGTTTTTAAATTTAAATAATATGTTTGGCCCTATAACTCTTTGGCTTTCGATTGGAGATGATTTTTTGTGACAGGGTTAAAATGAGCCCTATGACCCTTTGACATTCGGTTGGAGATGATATGGTCATGCACTGTTTATTAAAATATTAATTTCTTGAATGACCAGAGGATTAAAACGAGTCATCTAACCAACCTTCGGTTGGAGATGGTCTTATTTTCAGGCACCTGTTTCTAGGCCTTTTCAGCGTATATGCCCTTTTGGGCTAATTTAATGCATGATGATTTTCTTTTGATATAATGATATTATTTCAAGTGGTACAATTTGGATTAAACTAACTCAAATTAGCTAGTTATAATAATCAGTATTAAACTCGTTATCAATATGATTCAAAATTCAGACTTTTTACGTACAAGTAAAGTAAAATACTATTAAATCCGAATGTTTGATTTTAGTATAAAAAAATCATAACAAAAACAAAGTAAAAAATGAAATAAAAACATAACAAAAACTGTTTTCCATCTTAAAAAATTAAATTTTTGGCCAGAAAAAAAGGTTTTAGCAGGGATTCGAGTATCACACAAGTTACACATCTCTGGCTGAGTTGTCAAAAACCCTTTTTTTTTTTTGGATGCAATGTCAAAAACCATTTTCTCTACCCAAAAATAGGGTTTTTGGAAAAACAACTTAACAGAGCAACTTAATTTCCTTACTAGTTTAGAACATTTTGGTTCTGTTTCCAAAAACTGTTTTCAAGAACAGTTATCAAAACTAATACAAAAAGTGATTGGTTACCTCTCCCTTCACTTCCATCCAGATCTGGGTTCTCACTCATTCATCCCAAATCAGCCAAAATTCAACATTTTCCTGAGAAAATCCCAGAGAGTTTGCCACTTTACTAAGAAAATCCCATAAAGATTCAATCTTAGCCACCCATCTGATCCAACGGTCCAAAATCAGAACCCATAAGAGAAAAGTAGCTGAACCTTCACTCTGTGTACTGTTGAGAGTTGAAGTTCGAACACTCTTTACCCAGAAAACCTTCTACAACAGCAAAGCCACTGCAAACAGATCCAAATCCGAAAACATTCCCGGAAAATACCCATTTCCCGAGAAAGTCACACATTTTCTCGGGAAATTAAAAACCCAAACTTTTTCCCACCAATTTCCAATGGCTAATGCTTGGAAAAGAGACAAATCCATGAGACCCCTTGTGTTCCTCTTCTCTGCAACTATCGTCCTCATCTTCATCTTCTTCTTTTTCGCCACCCGCCCTTCCGCCACCCCCGCCGCCAACGACCCCACCATCCGAACCAATCTTCCAATCTACCGAATCCCGCCGTTCAATTGCGAGGAGTGCCCGCAGGCGTACCCCGTCATCGCCAACGTCGTTGAAGGCCTCCGCTATCCCTTCATCTACTCGCTCGCCGATTTGGGCAGCTTGCCGGAGAAGCCCCACAAGAACATCGTCCGATTCCTCAAGGGGAAGCCGTTTCGGAGGCCCGATATCTCGGCCACGATTCAGGGCGTTCTCGAGAAATTCAAAGGGGAAGGGAGGGACAACGGGCTGGTGGTGGACGTCGGTGCCAATGTCGGCATGGCCAGCTTCGCGGCCGCCGTCATGGGTTTTCAGGTGCTTGCTTTTGAGCCGGTTTTCGAGAATTTGCAGAGGATTTGTGATGGGATTTACTTGAATCGTGTGGGGGATTTGGTGACGGTGTTCGAGGCCGCCGCCTCCGACCGCCCTGGCAATATTACCTTCCACAAGGTACCCCCTTGTGCAATTTTGATTTAAAGTTTCGTGCTTTTGTTAGCTATATATTTTGTTTGTATGTGAAATGAATTTCAAATGATTGAAGATGAGTAAATATGAAAATTTGCCATTTGAGGGAATACATAGGACGGCATTTCGGGTACAGAAATTCTCTGTGCACGACGTCTGTTTCATAATCGGACTAATTAGATTACGAAAATATAATAACGTGCTATATTACATGATGGGTTGAATTGGTGGTGCTAATGAATCCATGGAACCTCAGATGTGCTTTTGAGTGAATTGCGATCACGTATTGCCCTTAATTGAATATGTGATGGAGTGATTTGTGATCGCGTATTGCCTTTAGTTGAATATGTGATGGGATGAATCGAGAGGCTGCAGAACGGAATTCAATTAGCACAACGAAAATTCTATTTACGGCAGTATTATAGATAATATGCTTTCCAAAATAATGTAGATTTGTGATGCTGTGATAATCTTCAGTCTGTTGCGTTTCTTACGTGTGAATCCTGCTTTTGTTACCAGTTGGTTGGTCGGATGGACAACAGTGCTATTTCAGCGACTGGTGCAAGGCTGGCTTTCAAGAATAACGAAGAAGTGGCAGTTCAAGTAAGAACCATTCCTCTCGATGATGTGATCCCGGAAACAGAGCCTGTTCTCCTGCTCAAAATTGATGTGCAAGGTTGGGAATATCATGTGCTGAAAGGAGCTTCCAAGTTACTGTCAAGAAAGGCAGGAGAAGCACCCTATGTCATCTATGAGGAAGATGAGCGGCTGCTGCGTGCCAGCAATAGCAGTGCTGGAGAGATTCGAAATTTCCTGAAGGGTGTGGGTTACAATCACTGCACGCTGCATGGTACAGATGCACACTGCACCAAATTGGGCTAACATGTTCTTCATACCTTAGGCTTTGCCGCGAGAAACAGAACCAAACTACCATATCGTGGTTGGTTTGCATATAATTTTCTGAAGACGGACTAGTCATACATGATACTGTCAGATAAATTAGATAATGGTCTAACAGATATCAATGTAACACAGCGGGCGCCTGCAGTCTGTAACGTGCGTTGGCCATGATGGTTGATGGCAAGCTATTTCGGGAAACACTCCGTGAATACATTGAAAGGAGATCGGTTCAGAAGGAGCTGCTCGTTGAGCTCAACCGGATTTATCTACATGCGTTAGTCGGCACGTTGCAGTGTGCCCTTGAAGGCTTTTAATTGTAAAATTGTTTTTCGTTAACTGATCTTTACTGATGGATTGATACATTAAAACTTCTATTCGATTCGTTGAGGATGTCGATTTCAATGTTTGTTAGGATATTTTTCTCTTGTAATAAGAAAAAGTAGAAATATTCGGATTTTCATATCGTATATCGAAAAAAATACATGTACGAAGATCGTTTCATCTCTTTTGGTAGTTCAATTTTTTGATTCCTAAGGCAAAGACGAAAACAAATAGTACTGAAAACCCGACCAACACAGTTGCAACAATGCCTACAAAGTCGTTCCTATACCCAAAATAAGACCTCATAAATTCGTCCACAGTTTCACCGGAATCAAGTCTGTCCGTGATGCCTCCAAATTGCGAAGAAAACAAGCCGTACAGGCTCCACGATGTCGGGCTAATCCAGTAGAACCATCTCCACCATAGTGGAATTCTCTGTCACCATCAAAACAGAGAGTAAGTACACTCAGAAGATTGGCACTAAAAGATTTAGTGATCGTAGACATGCGAGAGCTTACTGTTTTGGGAATGAGATATCCAGAAATAACGTTCCATAGCGGATAGAAGGCGGATGAAACAACGATAGAGATGGTGTTATTGGGAGTAATGGCCACTGCCATCATGCCATGGAAGGTGAAGTACAGGAAGGTGAAGCACATGAAGACGAGATACAAAAAGAATTTGCTGACCGTCCACTCAAATCCGACCATTGTGTACACTATAACTCCGTAGATGATAGTTTGGATCAACGTGTATGGAATCTCAATGACGGCCTGCAGTACACCGATGGAATTTGGTCATGAGATTCCGCAGAATTAAGTTAAAGGTTCCGGCCACAAATGATATACAATGTAGATCAAGCTAACGCTCCCCCTCATGGGTGGTTTCACCATACATATAACTTAGTAAACATATATACCTGTCCGAAGGCAAAAGGAAACGCTGAGTACATCCCGGCAGCCCTTTCTCTGTAAGACACCATCCTCTCGATGCCTACGACTGGCTGCACTGCTAAGGAGTTTTGTATCCCAATGAAGAGAACAGCAGCATACATTGAACCGATTGCGTTTAAAAGATCTCTTTCCCTTTCCCTGTATTCCAAGAGAAAATTTAATCAGCCAAATTAAGGACAAGGAGATTACACACAAGGTTTAGGCCACGCTTACGTCTGACTACCTCATTACCTTTTGGTGCCAAGATCCCAGAAAATTGTTCCAAAGAGTAAAGCCATCATAGCTGTGTAAAACAGCTTCATTGCACTATATTGCGGGTTTCGCCAATATGATATGTGTTGCTTCCATAAGCAAGCTCGACACTGGGTAAAGAACGATTGAGAATATTGTGACGGGAAGTACAAGTCTTTCGAATTTGGTGCAGGGGTGCTTAGCTCCTTGATCAAGGCCTTGTTTCTCCTAATGAAACATTAACATATATAGTATTAGTAGCTGAAACAGATGTGAAGAAATATTATTATCTGAGCTTTTATCAATCTCTTACCCGTATATTTCTGAGTTCTTGTATATTTCAGCGAAATTAATCCCAAGCGCTGCTTCTTGTGCTGCAGAAGTAACCTCCAACATCCATGTTGCCGGATTGTAACCATCCTTTATTTTCGGAACTCCATTAATCCCCTAATTGGTTAAATAATATACCATCTATGTTAGTAGCAGCAGTTGAGCAGAAAATATGGCATGTACAGTGTGTTTGATTTATGTATAATCCTAACCTCAAAGTAATCGATCAACTTGGAAGAATGGTGGCCTAAAGGGCCAACGTATATTTCTTCGCCTCCCTCTTTCAAGAGCAGCATCTGCAACGGAAATCGAGTATATTCAAGTTCTTGTAACATTGAACAGCATAATATCCATGTAACTCTAAAGCATAAAAAGGGATATTGTGATCATCACCTCATCGAAGGCATCGAATATATCAATGCTTGGCTGGTGGATGGTGCAGACTACGGTCCTCCCAGTGTCCACTGTATTTCTCACCGTTCTCATTACAATTGCTGCTGCCCTGGCATCAAGGCCAGAGGTCGGCTCATCCATAAATATGATGGATGGGTTGGCAACAAGCTCTACCGCAATTGTTAGCCTTTTGCGCTGCTCCGTTGAGAGACCATTCACACCAGGCAATCCAACAAGTGCGTTGCGTATTGGAGTCAATTCCACAAGCTCCATTACTTCCTCGATGAACATCCTTCTGCTGCGGGAATCAACCTCAGGGGGTAACCGGAGCCATGCAGAGTAAACCAAAGACTCGTACACTGCAACATGAGGAGAGTGGATATCTGTTTGCTCGCAGTATCCTGTTACGCGAGCAAATGTGTCTTGGTTTTTTGTATATCCGGATATTGTGATGCTACCCTCGATATGTCCACTCGTTTTCCTTCCTGCCAAAACATCCAGTAGAGTGGTTTTACCCGCGCCACTAACACCCATTAGGGCTGTTAAGACTCCTGGCCTAAAAGTTCCACTCACACCCTTGAGAATTTCTTTCCGGAAGCCTTCATCACTTATGCCTTGAACTTTCTTTTCATGAGGCATGTCAATCGCATATCGTATTTCATTAAAAGTAACCGAAAGAGGTTGAAAAGGCAGAACCATTCCGTGCTGCCTCTTTGTACTATTGGCTTCCATGTCGCTTCCCTCTGATACCGCAGTCAAAGCCTCATTGGACACTTCTGATGCGGCACGGGGCTCTTCAAATGCTGTACAATGTACATTTAGCAAAATTTCAGTACATAAACATTTAAGAAGACAGAACGAAAAATGTCTAGGTTAGTTGGTTCTTACGATCAAGATACTCAAGTGCAAACGTGAAAAGGAAGTTGAATAGAAGAGTAAATCCGATCAAAGCTGCCACTCCAATCCAATACCAACGTGCTTCCGGAGATATTCCTTGAGACTTCAAGACTATAACTCCTAACGCTTCTGCTGAGTTTGCAGGAACCTACAATACACATTTACACACATTAATTTTCCAATTAACATTTTTCTTAACAATACGTTGGCCCAATCATAGAGTCGTTACTTACATGTCTCCAACATTTTCCCAGAAATTCATTTACAGCCATCGCATTCAGTCCGTATGTGAATGGTGAGAGATAATATCCCCACAACGTCCACTTGTTCATATCGTCTGCCATAGAAAGCTAAATCAGTCCATCCACCAGAACATAAAGATATAAACTAGCACCGTATTAACTTAGTTATAATACATGAGACTAAAGTATCAAGGATCAACCTCGTGGTAAAACAAAGCCGCTCAGACCAAGAATGATGAGGAAAGCAACAAACCCGAATGTATTTGCAGCAGTTATGTTCCTTCCTACTACCCCTATCAATCGAAAAAGTCCATTTGCCATCTGGCTAATACACGCTAGCACAAGGAACTGCTTGAAGAACCTGTTACAGCAAGTTAGCAAAATTTCACAATTAGATTTCATATATAAACCAATGCATAAAAGTCTTATTAGAATATGTTTCTGTTTTTCAATCGATCACCTTGCAAGGCTTGGATCATAACCAATGGGATAGTAAGTGATGAGCATCCAAATGGAGACTTCCACAAATGTCATAGGGATCCGTATCATCCATTGAGGTAGAGTATACACCCAAGCTGGATAGAACAGATCGTCCCTTTGCTTGTAAAAGGCCGGAAGTCTCTCAACAGCCATGTGCAGCTCCGCAAACCCATTGAACATGATTGATAGCAGTGTAAAGAACATAGCTCCCATATAAATTCCACCATCTGCTACTGTATTCCGGTGCATCTCAGTGCGTAGGAATAACGTCGTTGTTACAAAAGCAGCTACAATAAGCTGAAATACAGGCATTTAATGAATTTCAATGGGGTGGGGGTGGAGGACTTAGGGAGGGTTATATACTGCAGACTTATTTACCTGCACCAATTTGAAAATGTAGACGAATTTATTCCGCTTCATAAGAATAATTTGTCTGTCCATACAAGCTTTTAACAGTTCCTTGTTGCTAGCACCATACTTCTTAGTTGTTAAATCCAAAGGGTGGCCTTCAGACTTGTTAAATGGAATAGCTAGCTCATCGCCGAGTTTTTGACCAATGTGAAACGAATTCATTGCTTCAGAAAACTCTTTGGGAGTTACAAAGCCATAAGGCTTATCTCTATAGATCCAGTATTGCTCTTGGTCTTTCCTTGATGTCACCTATCATCGAAGAGGAAAACAAAAATAATGGTTGGATTAGTCGGAGGAGATATATATATATATATATATGCATGTCAATCGTTATAAGAGTGAGTTATGTTAACTTACTTCTTGTAAGAAATCGGCGACTCCTTTCCTCTGGGGACATTTGAATCCCATGTGCTCAAAGAACTCAAGCACATTCTCGCAGGGACCTTGATACACAATGTATCCATCCGAGAGGAGAATTATGTCATCGAAAAGATCATACGTCTCCGGTGCTGGCTGCAGGAGAGAGATTAATGCAGTTCCATTGAGGATGTAGACACAATGACGCAGCGAATTCACTATTTGAAATGTTGTAGAACTGTCCAGGCCAGTCGATATCTCATCCATAAAAAGTACTCCTTCTGGTCTGACTAGCATCTCCCCTGTAAGTAATGGTTGGCCAGAATTTAAATAACAATTTTTTTACTTGAATCAACCTAATTCGCTACAATTTCTACGCTAGCTCTACCTGTCGTGACTCGCTTTTTTTGTCCACCGGATATGCCTCTGGTCATTTCGTCCCCTACAACGGTGTCAGCACAAGCTTCCAGTCTCAAAACCTGAAAAGTTGTATTAGCAAAAACAGTTATTAACAAGATAGTATCTTTATTTATGTAAGGCATTAACGTGGACGAATGGAAGGGACGTACCTTGAGTGTTAAGTCTGTAACTATATTGGCTTCCCGTCCTTCTAGTACCGCTGCCTGCGAAAAAAGAAGCTTAATCAAGAAGTTCTGGAAATCGGAATGCTACTTCAAGGAACAAATGCAAACTATGTTCTTACCTTCATGATTAGATCAAGATCAAGATCCGGCATGACATTTGCAGCCTTCTCTCTTCTCAATAATTCTACCAACAATTCTGAATTGTTTACCAAATGCAAATAATTAATAACTTATTCGAGATTCAAGATTTATTTAAAACTA